GGGGAGGGAGAGGGAGAGGGAGAGGGAGAGGGAGAGGGAGAGGGAGAGGGAGAGGGAGAGGGAGGAGAGGGGGAGAGCCTTGCTTGCATTGAATAAAAAGTCTTTAAGAAAACAAAGCAACAAAGGATCCCCTACTGCTTGTTCCCCCCCCTTCCCTTGCTCTGCTCAGTCTTCTCCCACATCTCCTCAGAGCCTCCACTGGTTTGTGTCCTTCTAGAGCTAACCTGCCTAAGAAGTAAGGCTCACAACACTGAGCACTAGCTAATACCACTCAGATCCCCTCCTCCTCAGTAGACAGAAGAAAAGTTTTGGGAGGCCGAGGAGAGGACCAGCCTGCCACGTGGCCTGCTGTAGAAGCACCATGTAGCATCTGCATCGGCTGAGGATTTTAGATGCAAGCCCAGCACAGGGAACTTGAAAATTTTCACTCCATGGGGAAAAAAGTAGCCGTCTTCATTACTCAAGCCTTTAGATGGTCCCCCTCCTGTGTCTTCGGCCTTCACTGCAGTGATTCACTGATGAAGCCTTCTGTCCTTAACCAGAGTCAGAGGAGAGTTATGCTTTTCAGATTCACCTGGGAAATGCTGTTTTTCAGAACGACACTTTCTCCTTGCTTAGATGCTGAACAATGATCCAAACAGAGAAAGGGAGATAGAAATAAAAAAAAAAAAAGGAACCTGAGAATCAGTGGTGGAAATAATGACAGATTTTTATCACATTATCAATGGTGAGAACTTGAGTCAACATGGTTTTCCAGCAATAAACAAATAACACTGTGGTATATATTAAAGAGAAGGTTTGTGCCGGGCAGTGGTAGCCTATGCCTTTAGTTCCAGCACTCAGGAGGCAGAACCAGGCAGATCTCTGAGTTCCTGGTAAGCCTGGTCTTCAGAGTGAGTTCCAGGATAGCCAGGGCTACACAGAGAAACCCTCCACGTAACCCTATACCCAAAAGAGGAAATTTGTAACCAATATCCACTTTTATACACAACAGAAAAGACCATTTAGGGCTAGTGAGATGTGAGATGGCTCAGCAGGTAAACCCATCACCACACAGGCCTGACGACCTGAGTTTGGTACCCAGAAATCATGTAAAGGTGGAAAGAGAGAACTAATCCCACAAAGCTGCCTTCTGAGTGCACCCATCCACATATACATCACACACACACACACACACACACAAATTTAAATAAACTATTTAATCCTCATTGCAAAAGTAAAGGCAATTGCACAAAAGTTAATATTAACAATTTTAATTATTTACTATAAAATATCAAACATTTTATATGTACAGAAATATGACGAAGTAAAACATCAATCACTGACTCTGGGGGCCGCTTTATTCTGTTCACGGTACAATGCTATTAACCACAGACTCGTGCTACACATCAGCTTGCAAGGCTCACCTATCTGGCCGTAGTTGGTACCCTTTGGCCTATATCCCTCCTTTCCCTCCACCACCCCATCCACGCTAACGCAGATTCTTCCCTATCCCTGTAGATCTCACATCCCCCCTCCTCTATTTTAATTCCACACGTAATTGAGATGGCACCATGTTTTTCTTCTCGTGTCTGGTCTGTTTCACTTAGCCTGATGGTCTCCAGGTTCACCCAGGCTATGGCACAGGGCTCCTCTTTTTAGAATCCTGCATACTATTCCATTGTATACAGTTTATTTCCATTTGCTGCTGGACGTTTAGATTGTTTCCGTGTGTTAGCCAGCCCTGCAGTGAGCAGGGGAGTGCACATGTCCTTGCAGAATACCGATCTCATCAGCTTTGGGAATATGCCCAGAAGAAAAAGGGATGCTGCGGTCCTACGGGAATAATATTTTCTTTTTTTTTTCTTTTTTTTCTTCTTTTTTTTTTTCGTTTTCTGAGACAGGGTTTCTATGTGTAGCCCTGGCTGTCCTGGAACTCACTCTGTAGACCAGGCTGGCCTCGAACTCAGAAATCCACCTGTCTCTGCCTCCCAAGTGCTGGGATTAAAGGTGGGGAATAATATTTTCACCTTCCTTAGATGCCTACAACTGTTGTCCATAATGACTGGCCAGATCTACAGTCCCACTGATGATGTACAAGAACTTCTTTTTCCCTTCTCCCTCATCCTCTCCAACTGCTCCCTGTCTTTTTGGAGCAGTAGGTGAGGCATTATTTGGTTTGGTCTGGGGGACAGGTTCTCACTGTGTAGCTCAGGCTACCTTGGACTCCAGATCCTCCTGCCTCAGCTTCACATGCAGTCTCCTGGCACTTTTGTATTTTGTATTTTGTCAGTGTTCCCCCGACCCCTGTCACACACACACACACACACACACACACACACACACAATCGTTTGTTGCTTTTGTATTCATTAGTAATTGAAGACATGCTGACGGCTCCAACCACAAATCTGTGCTTTGTATGTCTTGTCCTTGCTTTTGGGGAAGGAAAGAAGAAATGAGAAAAGATCAAAGGGAAACACGGGGGGTGGGGGGAGAGACAATGACTGCTGAGTGTGGGGCAATGGGCAAGGTATTTGGCAGCCTAGGCTCCCCCCAGCGAGCACCCAGAGCACTGGGCTGAACTGTAAGCTGGCCTCAGCTCAGAAAACATTCTAAACTGCTGCTATGATTTCCACAGCTGAATCTGGGGAGACGCAGAATTCTAGCCCTGATACCCATCCATATCTAACAGAGACTCTGAACCGAAGCCCTTCCTGGCCAGCTTACATGTAGACTGTCCTTCAGCATTATGACAACATGCTCTACCCCTGTGGCTTGAAGGGATTTGCCAAGGGTCCAAGACAGTCTAAGAAGAGCTAAATAAAGCCTGGGGGTGTAGCTGTCAGAGTGCTTGCCTAGCAGGCATGAAGGTCTGGGTTTGATCCCTAGTACCTCATAAGGCAGATGTGGTGGTGCATGCCTGAAATCCAGCCCTCAGGAGGTAAAGGCAGGAGGCCTAAAAGTCCAAGGCTATCCTTGGCTACACAATGAGTTTGAGACAACCCTGGGCACGTGAGACCCTATCTCAAGAAATAAAGGAAAAGGGCAAGAAGACAACTCAGTGAAAGACTAAGAACCTGGGATCCCATGGTAGAAAGAGAGGAGGAACTCCTGACCAGTGACCTCTGATCTCTGACTTCTGACCTCCATACCTAACACTGTCCCGGGGTCTGTGGACACATGCCCAGGTATACATAGCCATGCACACACTCACACAGATATTTATTGTGAAGTTTGAAGACGTCTTACAACTTTTTA